GGTGGACCAAAAGCTCAACAGCAATGCGCACTCACAGCACAGAAGGCCAACCATATCCTGGGCTGCATGAAGAGAAGCGTGCCCAGCAGGTCAAGGGAGGTGACTCTCCCCCTCTACTCCACTCTCGTGAGACCCCACCTGGAGTGCTGTGTCCTGTTCTGGAGCCCTCAGTGTAAAAAGGACATGGACCTACTTGAGCGGGTCCAGAGGAGGGCCACAAGGATGATCAAAGGATTGGAGCATCTCTCCTATGAGGACAGGCTGAAAGAGTTGGGGCTGTTCAGCCTGGAAAAGAGAAGGCTCTGGGGAGACCTTCTAGCAGCCTTCCACTACCTGAAGGGGCTAAAGGAAGGCTGGGGAGGGACTTTTTACAAGGGCAGGGAGTGACAGAACAAGGGGTGATGGCTTTAAACTGGAACAGGGGAGACTGAGACGAGATCTGAGGAAGAAATTCTTTCCTGTGAGGGTGGTGAGACACTGGAACAAGCTGTCCAGAGAAGTTGTGGATGCCCCCTCCCTGGAAGTGTTTAAGGCCAGGTTGGCTGAGGCTTTGAGCAACCTGGTCTAGTGGAAGGTGTCCCTCCCTGCTCATGGCAGGGAGGTTGGAACTAGGTGATCTTTAAGGTCCCTCCCTGCTCATGGCAAGGTTGGAACTAGATGACCTTTAAGGTCCCTTTCAACCCTAACCATTCTATGATTCTATCATTTCTGTCAAGTCCCAGATCAGCAGCTATACTAAAAGTGGATTATTCTTCAATTCATTGCCCTTGAACAGGAAAATCAAGACTTCGAGACAGAGCATTTAGGGTTTTTTTCCTATATTTGAACTACCAAAATGCTGGATACTGGGCTTCCAGTCTGGGGAACCTGTACAAAATAAGCTTCCCTCATTTTTTGTCACTTTTTCTAAAGAACTCAATCCATTACTAACAATTGGGCCTTAGGGGTAAGAGTGAAGCCAATACATTCTGTTTGGCATTTGTGAGATGAAATCTGATTACTGCAACTAGTCTCAGCCTCCCCAGAAGAAAACAGACAGTGACACACTGGGCTGAGTCCAACTGGGGCCACCAATATGGGAGGGTTGGTGGAGGTGAAATTCAGGGAGAGGCTGCGAGAACTGCATTTGTTCAGCCTTAAGAAGAGAGGGAAAAGGAGGGATCTTACTGTTGCCTACAGCTGACTAAAGGGAGGGTATAGCAGAGCCATACTCTTCTCATTTATAAGACAAGAGACAAGAAACAAGTTGGAAAATGGGAAATCCCAGTTAGGTTTGTGGGGCCTGATGGTTTTCAGAGTATTTTGTTCTTCTCAATATGAGGGTGTATAATACCTTGCCCATTTTGCTTTTATCTTCTAAAGAATCTATACTGTGAAAATTATTACGATGTCCAAAAAGGAAATATGGCCACATTTTTTGGAAACTAGACAGCTGCTTTTGAGAAATATCAAGAAGACTCCAGAGCTAACATAGGAAATCAAAAGATCATAGTGGTACCATCAACCTCAGAGGAAGTAATTTTCTTCAGATAATCTGAGTTAGCATCTAATTCCTTTTGCTCTGCAAAGACTAGAAAAACTTACAATAAGATGTTTGCCAAAATATTCCAAGTCCTCATTCAGATGGGGAAGTTTTTAGGGGGAGTGAGAGAATGGTGAGTCTCCATTCAGAAACATAAAACATGTAATGAGGTCAAGTTCTGTGAGATTTGTTAACTGCCTTTGAAACAGCCTACTAGAGCTGCTGTATGGGATGGTTATCAATTATTGCATTTAAAAAAAAAGTCTCTGTAATTTACATTTAAATTGATATAATTAATGTTATTGCACAAAGAAAATCTTGAATTTACAACATGTTCTAATACAGGTGTCTTTTCTCTTTGTACCTTCACCTATCTTTTCCATAAATTTGGTTAACATCTTTGATATTATGCTCAACTAGTGGGCAATTACAGAAGAAACGGCAAAATTAGAATAAATATTGAAAGCTGTTTATGATAAATATTTGGTTCTTGGATCTTAAATTAATCACCTAGTAGATACTTAATTCTTTCATAGAATCATAGAATCTTTTAGACTGGAAAAGACCTTTAAGATCATTGAGTCCAACCATACACATAACACTGACAAGTCCACCACTAAACCACATCCCTAAGTGCCACATTTACATGTCTTGTAAATACCTCCAGGGATGGTAACTCAATTGCTTCCCTGGGCAGCCTGTTCCAATGCCTGATAATCCTTTCAGTGAATAAATGTTTCCTAATACCCAATCTAAACCTCCCCGGGTGCAACTTGACGTCGTTTCATCTCGTCTTATCAATTGTTACTTGGGAGAAGAGACTGACACCCACCTCGCTACAACCTCCTTTCAGTCAGTTCACTTCATAGTTTCCTTTGTTGGCAAAGTGATGCTTTTTATACCTATCACTTACCAACTGTCTCCTTAATTTTCTTGAACAATGGAATAAAAATAGTAAAAATCTTGCCATCACCCTTCTCTAAGTGTAATGTCCAAGGCTAGATGGAAGGCTAGGGTTCAGATCTCCTTGCCTAAGCTCCTGGAAAGGCACAAGGGCCTCATCTAGTTACGTAAATGCTGTGCTAGAATCCACTCAACTCACCCCATGAACTCACACATCATTCTGATACTCACATCTATACCTCAATACAACATAAGGTGCTCTTCCTTATAGGAACGCAGGTAGCATTTCCAAGACAGAGAAATTTATTTCTTAGTACTTTCAATTGTAGTGCGTTCATAAAGATTTCATATTAGGGGTTTGATGCGTTTGTTTTTTTTTTCCCTGGGACCAGCAATGAAGGAGATATCTGTAGTATTTATGCTACCACAATAAACTATATGTCACAGATACAATTTGGACTTTGTAGCAGTGCTATGGCTTTTACGAATGTTTTGGGTTTTTTCGTTGTTTGTTTTTTTTTGTTTGTTTTGTTTTTGGGTTTTTTTTTTAATTATCACCAAAAGAGAAAGGCTTTAAAGGGTTTATCTACAGTTATTCAAGTCTTAGACATAATTCAGGATCCTTACCTTGAGAATACACACCAAAATACAAATATTATCTTAGCTAAAGATAGCATTCTAATTCAGTTTTGGACTGGAGCTATCTCATGGTATACAAGTATACTTACTACATTCTAAAATACTGCCCTGCCACTAAAATTCTCAATGATGCAGTCATTTTTTCTACCAAAGTTCCTTTCTGTAGCTGTATCATTTTTTCAAATATAAAAGATCATGAAGAAAAATGCAGGTTTCTCCTTGTCAATTCTCTTTTAGACCATGAATAATGATGGGACTAGTTTTGAATAGAAACTCATTAAACATCAGTTAAACAAAGCAACAATGCTACTTTGAGAAGCGCCTGCATGTTTTTCAACATAATAGATTTGAACATAATAGTTTTTCCACTGAGATATGGCATGATTTCATGCGGGGAAGAACCTTATGTTCTTCAAACATGGTTAATAACACCCCAAAACTTCTAAATATCATACCAAGTAGGCCAAACTCTTGGGCATTCTACTACATCTTCAAAAAAAAATTCTCTTAAACAATTTGTGTGCAGTGTTGCAGGCACCAGAATGAAGCCGAGTCTATCACAGGAAGACAGAAATCACAGAATCACAGAATGTTGGGGATTGGAAGGGACCTCAAAAGATCATCTAGTCCAATCCCCCTGCCAGAGCAGGAACACCTAAATGAGATCACATAGAAAGGCATCCAAGTGGGTCTTGAATGTCTCCAGAGAAGGAGACTCCACAACCTCCCTGGGCAGCCTGTTCCAGTGCTCTGTCACCCTCACTGTAAAGAAGCTTCTTCTCAAGTTTAAGTGGAACCTCCTGTGTTCCAGCTTACAACCATTGTCCCTTGTCCTACCATTGGGCATCACTGAGACTTCCTGTCCAGTCCCCTCCTACTGGAGATACGACATCATGTTGTCCCCTTCATAATCACAGAGCATTCTGTTTTCAATATAGTACAACTAGAAAGTTGTACTATATTGAAACCTCAATTAATAAAAAGTACTTCAACAGAAATTACATGAAAACCTCACGTAATGGCCTAAAACTTCCCTATTTTTATTGATGCCACATAAGATAGCAATTATATTTTTTCACAGCTGCCTCACACTGACAGCTCCATAGTCTTTATGGAACCCAATAATGTATGTTCTCTGTCTTTCTTGGTTGTTTATAAGTGATGAGTCCTCAGCTTACAGCAGGGGTTATAGCTTTTGAATGTATGACCTTACATTTCCTACTGTACAACTTCATCACATTCTTCAGGTCGTTCAGCTCTTTCAGTCCCTTACTGATGGACCACTCTAAACAGAAAGTCAGAAAGTCACTGTTTTCATTTGTCTTGAAACCCACATATTTCCACATTTAGAAGCCATAAGAATTCAAAACCTGCCCATGAACTTCCACATTTAGAAGCCATAAGAATTCAAATCTGCCCATGAACTTCTGGGTCACTATCTCCGGGAAAGAGAACATTTGTCTTTTAGAAAAGACTTATTTTACCTCAGAAGAAAACTGTGTAAGAAGTAGTCATACAAGTACAAAAATATATGCTAGCAAAACTAGATAATAGCATGATTTTTCTTTCTTTTATACAAGTAAACAAAAGGCAAACTCCTAGACCTAAGGCATTTTTTTTCCCACATGAAACAATGAAATGTTTAAAATAGCCTGGCATTCAAAAAGGAAACTCAGGTTACCATAAACAAATAGTTATAATGCCTTGTTGTATTCAACTCCATTTCAATGTTTTAGATTTCATATAGGGCACTTTTAGGATGCTTAATACGCGTTAAAGTATTCTGCCAAAATAAGTGGTAAGTGTTGGTTTAATACAGAGATTACTTACGCAGCTAGAGAAGTGCTTAGGAAGAAGACATTTCATACAACAAAAGGACACTGTATTGACAAAGCACTATCATCAGAATATATACAAGAAGGAGGAAAATACTTACAGATTTTTTATGTCTACTGCTCCTCGAAATGCCTTCCTTGGTATTGCTTGAATCTGATTTTCACTAAGATCACTAAGAAAAAAAAATAATTAAATTAAACCTAAAAACTGTCATTTACATTTCTTTCTGTGTATAACAAAAAGAACATATAAGAAAATAATTTCAGCCATTATGGTTCAGTCAACATTTCCAATGAAGCTTATTTTATTACCTTAAATGATTTATAATTGAAGAAAAAGAAGCAGCAATAATAGTCAAATTAGTTTATCTGTGTGGCACTAAGTAGCTCCTTACAAAACAACAATATATATGACATACAAAAAGCAGAAACATTACATAATTTAACAATGAAGGCCAAACTGATTTAATTTTTAACTGATTGATTTCACTTCTCCACCCATTCTAAGTCCATGACATCAGATGTTTGATAGTATGTTCAGCTTTATGCAAGCAAGACTGAAAACCAGCAAAAAGAAAAAGTAGCAAGCTGTTGAAAACCAACTATCAATCTGTGTAACATCCGAGATGAGTGTATTTCTGAATTTTAGAGTGGCAAGCACCATGTATTTTAAAAGAAGGCATTAAAAACAACCTGCAGCAAATATCTAATGCTCCTCCCCCAAATCCCTGCATGATCAGCTGTAGCAGCCTATCTAAAACTAGTATCTTTTCCAAATGATAAACTTTATTAAAATTCTTATAAAATTATTATTCAGTGGTATTCTTTGCTATACGTATAATTAAACAGGCCTTTTCCTGAAATTCAGAAATATTTTTGGCCTTCATAGTTCCATATTGGAAATAAAATCTAGAGAAGTGAAGACAGTAGCCGAGGAGAAAGAATAATAAATTAAAAAAACAACAAACAAACAAAAACCCAACAGACCAAACTAGAATCCAGGGCTTTTCATTTATGCTATATACACCGTTAACAAGTGATGCAGTGCAATAGGAGATGATCAAGATATTAAAGTTGTTATTGCTATAGCTACACCATGTGCAGTTTGGAGGTTTCACTTCAGACAACAGTTTGCTACCCTGGACCAAACATACCTACTCCACACAGATGGCTCATAAACGTCTGAAGGCCTTCAAAGGGATCTATCTACCTTGATGTCTTAAAATTATGAAATCAGATCACCTTTTGGAGGCCTTCAGAGATGCATCTATCTATAGATCAGATGGAGAACACAAGATATTACATGCAGAGGCTTGCTTAAGCAATAAAAATTAGAAACTAATCAGATGCACACAGGCTGTCTCTATACTAGGATTTTGATCCTAGTAGTTTTGCTGTGGCTAAGTAGATTTCATATTGCTAAAACCAATTCACTCCAAAAGCACATTAAATGCAATCCAACCCTTAACTGGAGAAGTAAAGCTTTGCAATGTCTTGCTTTATAGAGACATCTGTTAGATACCTTCTCAGAAACAGCTTTTAGGAGAAACACTGCAAAATGGTACATAGAAATAAGAGACCTAGCTCAGATGAAGTGAATAAGCAAGAATCATTTAGTTGATTAGACAT